AGCTTAACTAGGGTGACATTAGGTCCCGCTCAGTAGCTGATGATACAGTAACTGACACTGGCTAGCTTAACTAGGGTACCATTAGGTCCCGCTCAGTAGCTGATGATACAGTAACTGACACTGGCTAGCTTAACTAGGGTGACATTAGGTCCCGCTCAGTAGCTGATGATACAGTAACTGACACTGGCTAGCTTAACTAGGGTGCCATTAGGTCCCGCTCAGTAGCTGAGCTAGCAGGGGGGTAGCGGGTGTGACTGCTGGCGATGACTGTCAGGAATTCCCTACAAGGGCCCTCCTCCCCTGGACTGTCTGCGGTGACTGTCAGAGTGGGGGGGGATTTTTAGCTCCACTACTGGCACCACTGCTAGTATAAAGCTACAATCACACTGCAGTGTGCAACCAACTCTAAAAGCACCCTAATTGGTTCGCCCACATCACATGACCCATTCATAATTTGATCTCGCTAGTTACACCCTGTCATTGTCTGACTGGTCACCTGGTCACCCTACACGGAAGTAAACAGTATTCCAATATGGCGGATATGAAGGAGCTGCTTTCAGTGATGTTTTCCCTGTTGCTGACCTGTATGCAGCTGAATAGCACGTTACACAGAGTGACTGTGGAGTGGAGGCTCTGAGGCTAGGGAGCTGCCCCAGCAATCGGAAGGTTGCTGGTTTGAATCCCGTGAATGTGAATGATCCTACTCTGTTGGGCCCTTGAGCGATTTGTCCTGGGTATGACGCTAATCTACATCCAGCTCTGCAAGGAGGTCCTCCAGCTTACAGGGAAGTTTGGGGGTTGGTGGCAGGTTTGGCACTCCAGCCACTGGGAAAAAACTCACACCGTTTCTTTCGGAATAGTGTGGTGCTAAGGTATCACCGGCTGCACGGCTGCACTCAGACTCTCATCTCTGAGGTGGTCTGTCATGGGGGTGCGGCAATGCGCTATAATCAGCGCATGCCCTTTACCTCCTGCGTCGATGCACGTGTGCCCAGTGTAGGCCAGTAGCTGTGTCATGCACATTTTTGCTCGTTTCGGTGTGTAAAATGCCTGTGTGGACTGAGATTGCTTTTGTTTTCAGATGAAAACACAGAAGTACAGACACAGCCTGGGTTAGCATGGGAATTATTTTGAGGCGAGTCATTTTCTCCTGCTGCACTGCTATGTTGGATCTTTGAGTTTCCCCACCTGCCAAATCCCACGTTAACCCCTGCCTGCAGCCAAGATTTTATGCCTCTGTGGATGTATTTCCAGTAGGTGGCAGTGTCGACTTTCACAGACCAGCAATAAATGACAAAACAGTAGAGGAAGAATATTTGTTGTTGTAGTAGCTATGATGAGCAGGGGGTGTCCTTGGCTAATTCTGTCGTCCGGATTTAAAAATAACATGTCATGCCATATTACCTTAATACCACCCAAGCCTTACCATTTGAAAATGATTACCCACTTCATTACACTGCCCTCTCCTGGTCTGGTGGAATATGCATGCACCAGTGCAGCAATATCCGCAGCCAAATGTAGTATGAACACAATCTTCCACGACCATCCATGGACCAAAAGTGCAGATGGAAAAGTGAAGCATGAGTTGGGGTTAAGAAGGATGTAACGGTGTGAGCCTGCATCTGTGTGTGTGTGTGTTTGTCTGATGGTGTGCGTGTGTGTGTGTCTGACGGTGTCTGTGTGTGTGTGTGTGTGTGTGTGTGTGTGTGTCTGTGTGTGTACACGGTGACCCACCAGGGCAGTTGATAAAGGCCCAGTCGTAGCCCCTGTCTCGGGGACACAGACCAGGCTCCAGCACCATCTCCTGGCTCTGCCTGGACGGGCTCTTAACGGGGCCCCTGTATGAACCCTCCATACACTGGCCCCGCCCTGTATGGCTGGGGTCGCCACACCAGCCACAAGCCGGCTGCTCCAGACACAGGCTGCAGGTGCGAAGCCCTGAGCAGTTCTGGGCTGTGGAAGAGAGTTCAATACTGGTGAGCATGTGTAAGGCAGTCAGACAGAAACACAGAGAGATAGACAGAGACAGACAAAGAGATAGAGCGAGAGAGAGAAACAGAGGCAGAGTCACAGAGAGATAAACAGACAGACAGTCAAGTAGAGTCACAGAGAAGAGAGACAAATAGACAGAGAAAAACAAGCAGAGACAGACAAACAGAGAGACAGACAGAATGTTCTGTACAGTCTCACACGACAGAAGCCTTAAATGAACCTTATCATTCTGAAGCAGTAGTTTGTGCTTTGAAGACCGATAAAACCCAAAGTGATTTTCTACACCTGGCACAAGGTATGAGGATTTGCGCACACACACATACACATACACACACACAGGTTTGTAATTATATCTTTGTGGGGACTCTCCATTCATTTCTATGGGAAAAACTCTAATCCCAACATGATGACCTTAACCCCTACCCAGCCTTAATCTTAACCATAATTAATCAAACAAAATATGAGACTTTTGGCTAATTTTAGTTCTTTAGATTGCATTCACAGATTTTTATACAACTGAGTTTGAATTCACAGGGACCGAAAATATGGGTCACACAACATCAAAAAAATGGTTTTTATCACATTGGAGGGAAAGACGCATGCATGCAGAAACAGACGCACAGACAGACGCACACACACAGAGACAGATGTACAAATGTGTGCACATGCAGATACCCTAGCACACGCAGACACGTGCAGACAGACGTAAGCACACGCAGACACGTGCACGCACAGGCAGACGCACACAGACACGGAGACACACTCAGACAGACGCACAGACACACAAACGCACAGACAGACATCCAGACAGAGGCACGCACACACGCAAACAGACGCATTCACACTCAGACAGACGCACGCACACACGCAAACAGACGCATTCACACTCAGACAGACGCACGCACACACGCAAACAGACGCATTCACACTCAGACAGACGCACGCACACACGCAAACAGACGCATTCACACTCAGACAGATGCACACACATCCCATCCCCCCGGCAAACCCAGGACCGGTCATTTCAAGGCCGCACCATCAGAAGGTGGGAAGCAATCAGACGGAGAATAAAAGGGAGAAACATACAGCATGAGCCACCCTCCCTAAATGTGCAATTTAAACAAAACACATCCGCCCGCTGACCTTGGCGGAGCACTATGGGGAACGATGCACAGCTGATCAGCGCATCACAAAGAGGATGCGCAATTATGGCGCCTGGGCCAGGGGCCGCCGGCTCCGCCCACACGCCCCCCACTCGCCTGCTCCCCAGTGCCGCCGCCGAGGGGATGATGAAGAACTCTCCCTCCATTTAGTTTGATGCTGAAGCAAACCTGTTCTTAGCTGCCGATTAAATAAAAGGCTTTCAGCGAAGATGCTGACGGAGGCACACAATGAGTGCTTTTGTTTTGTTTGTGTCGGCTGTCTGCTAAAGTGGACCTGAAAGCACAGGCAAAGCGACCCGGATAAGTGCGCTTTCCTACAGTACCGCCTCCCGCTGCCAGGCCCAGAGGCTGGCAGAGCTCTGCCCTCATGCAGCCACTAGGTGGCACTGTGCCAGGAAGGGTGGTAACAGACCGTTATTTCAGGGGGTCCAGGTCCCAGCGTACCGCCAGAACCGTGTCCGCTCCTGCATCAGCCAATCTGATGCCAAAGTGAATATTCTGGAAAGCTCTAAACCCCCAGCCCATCACACCATACGGTTCCCAAGGTAACTTCCACCCTGATGCCAAAAAACAGCAGAGTGACACGCTGGCCGCAGAGCGCAGAGAAGGCCCTGGTGGGCACGGCAACCGCTGCCATGGCAACTGGCGTCCCACAGAACCACGGGCGACTTCATTCCGCTAATGAGCGAAGAGCAAATAAAAGGGGGGGGGGGAGGTGGCAGAAAGCCACACACTGGTGCCCAAACCTCTTGCTTGGCAAGTTCCCAGACGAGCAAGAGCACCTCCTCCCGGACAGGAGCACCTCCTCCCGGACAGGAGCACCTCACTGATGAGGATACCAGCGATAATTAAATGGGAGCACGGAAATACCGGGAATGAGGAGCAGGAGATCCGGGCCACTCGTGCCAAGCCAAGCAGGCATCTCCACCTGGGAAGGAGTGACCACAGGCACACATACACCCCCTAATTAGCCTCAGGTCATCGAGGGGTCACCACCCCACTAACGGCCGTGGTGACGTCCCAGTGTGCCGGGATTACTGCTGCTCTTAGGTGGGATGTGAGCGTAGTGGCGAAGAGACACACAGACACACACACAGAGACGCACACAGAGAGGCACAGACACACACACAGAGACGCACAAAGAGAGGCACAGACACACACACACAGAGACACAGAGACACACACACAGAGACACAGAGACACACACACAGAGACGCACAGACACACACACAGAGACGCACACAGAGAGGCACAGACACACACACACAGACACACACACACAGATGCACAGACACACACACAGAGACACACATACAGAGACGCACAGACACACACACAGACGCACAGACACACACACAGAGACACACACACAGACGCACACACACACAGACGCACAGACACACGCACACACAGACGCACAGACACACACACACACACACACACAGACGCACAGACACACACACACAGACGCGCACACACACACACAGACGCACAGACACACACACAGACGCACACACAGAGACACACAGACACACACACACACACACAGAGACGCACACACACACACAGACGGACAGACACACACACAGACGCACACAGACACACTCACAGACCTACAGACACACACACCCTCACAGACCTACAGACACATACACACACACATTCCTTCATACCCGCAAACACCGCACTGACACACACGCTCACACACACGCTCACCAGAGGACTATGAACTCCTAACAGCTGCACGTTCATTGAACTGCATAAACTGAACATATACAGGGAGGCAGTAGACCCCAGAAATGTGACCCCCCCCCGGGACCAAGAACGACCCCCGGTCAGTCATAGAACATGAGCGACAGCCACGTCACACCGGGAACCACAGGTGCTGGGGGGGCCACATCATGGCGGGGGCTGCCGGGGCTGGGGGGGCCATGGCGGGGGCCGCATGGGCTAGGGGGGCCATGGCGGGGGCCGCATGGGCTGGGGGGGCCATGGCGGGGGCCGCATGGGCTGGGGGGGCCACGTCACAGCACGGCGATGCCTATCGATTTACTGGGGGAAAAGCTCTTTGATACAACTGATGCAATATAGCAGCTGTCGATAAGAAGCTCAGACAGGCGGCAAAGCTGCAGGCCAAGGACTGGGGTCCAGGGGCCGAGGTGCGACTCCCCATGGAAAGCCCCGCGAATCGAACCCTGGCCATCCGGGGCAGCCTTTACACCTTTATTATCATCACTTTGTGCAGGATAAATCCAGAGTCAGCCCTGCGCCCAGGGCCCAGTCACACAGCCAGCAGACCCCACACAATGACCCCGCCCACACCAAGCAGACCTCACACACTGACCCCGCCCACACCAAGCAGACCTCACACACTGACCCCGCCCACACCAAGCAGACCTCACACACTGACCCCGCCCACACCAAGCAAACCTCACACAATGACCCCGCCCACACACTGACCCCACCCACATGGTCCACCCACACACTGACCCCACCCACATGGTCCACCCACACACTGACCCCACCCACATGGTCCACCCACACACTGACCCCACCCACACTGTCCCACCCACATGGTCCACTCACACAGGCAGTCCCCGGTCTGCCACTCCAGGCACTGGCCGTAGGGGAAGGAGATGACGTAGGCGTTGGAGTCCACGCAGCGCTTGGTGCTGGAACACCACATGCACTCTGTGGCTTGGCTGGTGCAGTTGGTGCAGCTGGTGCGCAGGGAGCAAGGCATCTTGCAAGGCCGGGCATTCTGGTTTGGGCTCACTGTGAGGGGGGAGGGGGCAGAAAAGAACCACACCATGTGACCAGGAGAAAGAAGAGCAGGTCGGGGCAGAAAGCTCACCCTGCGGCAGCCAGAAATTTCTGCATATTCATTCCAGTTAACTATTCCAGTTTACTAAAAATCCAAAGCACACCAGTGCACTTACAGAACACTGAGGCTGACCTCAGTCCTTTGAGAGGAGTGTGTCCCTTTAAGAGAGTTTCCCTTTAAGAGAATGTCCCTTTCTGGACACATACTTTCAGGTGATGGACCTACAGTGTGCCAGCACCTTCTGCGGTGTAACTGTTAAAGGGTTAATGTTGTAAAAACAAGACGTCTGTGTCATGAAGATAAATCCCCATCCATGTTTCTTAAGTGGGCTTTCATAGATAATGATTAAAGGCTAGCTGAAGCCAGCAGACTAATGGTCACACTGAGATATCAGGAGAGACAGCATGGGGGGGGGCTATTAAGACCCCCCCCCCCCCCCAAACACTTCGGACACCATGGAAGACAGCCAAAACAGCACATTTAAAAGATGCATCTTCAGCTCTGCTTGGACTGGCCAAACCCCAAGTTCCCGTAGCAAAGAATGTGCCAATACAGCACAATACTTCCTGTCAGCAGGGGCATAATGCTCCCTGTCGGGACAGCGTGGCCACACTGCCCGGTCATACTTCCTGCCGGGACAGCGAGGTCACACTGCCCGTCGAGACAGCGCGGTCACACTGCCCGTCGAGACAGCGCGGTCACACTGCTCGTCGAGACAGCGCGGTCACACTGCCCGGTTACACTGCCCATCAGGACAGCACAGTCACACTGCCTGGTCACACTGCCCGTCGAGACAGCGCGGTC